TACATATATATATTTTTTTTTTTGCTACCAGGGATTGAACTCAGGACAACCTTGTGCTTTTGAGGCAGGTGGCAGCCTGTCTATATTCTTAATTTTTAAAAAAATATTATTTCATCTTATCCTATCTAATTAGTCTGTTCACCTGTTAAACTTTTGATAATATTTACAGATGACACAAAGAATATTTTTTTTTCTACTAAAAACTGCTAGTAGAGCCAGGGATTTAGTTCAGTGGCACCAAGCCTGCCTTGCAAGCACAAGGTCCTGAGTTCCATCCCCAGTTCCAAAAAAACAAAAAGAACTGCTAGCACAGCTACTTCATTACCTGCAAAGAACCAGAACACCTTCATTATACTACCATGTACCCTAAGTGGCCCAAACCTAATGGTTCTTCAATACTTAAAAAGTAATTTTTGCAAAGAGATCTGTGCAGACCAAACTATGAGTTGAACATGTACAGTATTAATAAGCATGACATAAAGACTGAGAACACCCTCATGCATCTCTATTTTCAGCCTGGAATGTTAGCATGGTTCTAAGATTAAAACTGAAAGTGAGCATGGTCTCTCAAAGTCAGAAAAGCAAGCTAACAGAAGACTGGCTTTTTGATCTATGGTTTCTACATATCTGCTTTTAAATGTCTTGTGACAGCTCTTCATTCTTTATATCAAAATCTTTTGATTATTTCTATCAATGTTAGAGAATAAAATATTGTATCCTTTAGTAAACAGATAACACAATGAAAGAATAAATTATACAGAAGTATCTCCCAAAGCAACTTCTATGATAATGGTTTATAATCATAGCACTACCCATGATGGCAAAAAATAAATAAATAAAATAAATAAATAAATAAATACACACACACACACACACACACATTAAAAAATATATATATATATATTTTGCACTGGGAATCAAACTTAGGACCTTGTGCTTACTAGGCAGGTGGTGGAACCACTGAGCTAAATCCCTGCAGAAAAATATTTTTAGAAATTGCTATGTGGTACACCTTGCCACACAAATCTTTTGAGTGAAGTTCTGAAAGTTGCACCAGTAGCACCGCAGAGAAATTTTTCACAAAATTCATCTGCATTTTCTTAACAAGGCTTTGGAAGACCCAAAAAAGACACCTGCAGACTTCCAGTTAGAAATAACTGGCTTTGCTTCTAAATTGACTCTTTAGGTAGAACTATCTGCTGAGATCCACAGAACTCGACCATGGCCTGGCTATTACTGAAAGTGGCAACTTACGCTCTGATGTATAAAGCATCACTTGCCATAATGTTCTAAAAGGCAAGGTTGGTTTATTTGGCTTTTGTTGAAGGGCACTGTGGGAAATCAAAAATTTTATAGAAAGAGTGCAAGTGTCCAATTTGCAGCTCATTACCCACTCAAAGACCTGGCTTGGGCAACAATGAATAATAGGTAACAGATTTCCCACAAAGTAGCAGAGATGAGAAGCCCCCTCGAAATAGTCTGTGGTCAAGATATGCAATTCAAGCTAGGTCCTGCAGGTACTGGGCAGTTATGCAAAAAATTATTTTGCTTTGCAGAATGAGGTATAGTTAATTCAAAGGAGAAAAGGTGTAAAAAGTTTTAGTGGTAGCAATTCTGTGGTTAGCTTTCAGACGATATAGTTCAGCACAGCTTTAGTGACAACTGAACAAGGAAAAAAAAAAAAAAAAAAAAGAATTAGCTGATGTATAAAGAATGGCATTACCCTAACTATCCCAGAGAGCTGGCATCTTACCCAAGCCTTTCCTTGCTCTCTTCTGGTGTGAGCTGATCGAAGGTCTTTGCTTCTTCAGCACCCAAGAAGGCATCATGGTCATAATCAAAACTCTGGGCATCATCGTGAACTTTGTCACTCAGCTGAGGCTCATGATGTACACGGTCCTTCTTTTCTGTAGGCTTGCTCAAGGCAAAGGCTGTGCACAGGGACAAGCACATAAGAAACTGTCGCAGGTCCATGATCCAATCTTAAAGAAAATGAAAGGCAATTAATTCAAGAGGCAATATGCTATTAAATTACTATTTGACACACAATTTTACACAGATCATTTGTATTACTATTATTTCACTCATAATATAAGTATGGTAGAATCAGACTTTCCAGTGTTATACAAGAGAAAATCTTTACCAGTTTCTTTTATCTGATTATAGACTGATAGGGAATTTATAACTACAATGTCCACTTTGTAAGGAATGTCTCCTTAAAAGATATTAAAGTAGAATTTTAATCCTTGTGGTCAATTTAATAAAAATTACAAGTGAAGAGACCAAGATTTAAATTTTGACTTCATATCCTTTACTTTTTGTACTATACCAGCGGTCTGGTCCTGAAACCTGGATAGTTATTAAAATTATGTGAGTAAGAATTAAGTAAGTTTCCCCCACTGATTTAGAATCTCTTATAATGAATTCAGGGTCTGGGGATTTAGCTCAGTAGTTCTGCTGCCTGCCTTACAAGCGCAATGACCTGAGTTTGATGATCCTTGGTACCAAAAAAAAAGTATGTTTTCAGAATCCATCCATTTACCTATATGGAATTCAGGTGTCTGCACCTTTAAATACTTCAGAAGTGATTCTGATGATTACCAGACTAGGAACCAATGAAAAACTCAGCTTCCTCAGTCTATAGATCCAACTCTCCCATATACATGCTAATCTTGAATCACCTTCAAACACCAACCATCCAGAAGGTCTGCATAAGAATTTCCTTACCTTTCTGGGTAATTGTTTCCCAAACTTGCCCAAGTGTAAGAATCACTTGTAGTACTGGTCAAACTAGATACTGGGCCCTACTCCACACCTCAGACCCTCTGCAGTCACAGGCAAATCTAATGAACAAGAACAAGGTAGAGGGCCAGGGATGTAGTTCAGTGGCACTGCACCTGTGTGGCAAGCCCCAAGGTACTGAGTTTGATCCTCGGTACAAAATAATCAATCAATCAATCCAAACAAACAACTTTATTGAAAAATGTGACTAAATGTGACTAAAGAACTGCAGAAAAGATGCAGGTCAGAAACTTCTTTGGGGGCCGGGGATTTAGCTCAGCAGCACCCACGCCTGTCTTGCAAGCACTCAAGGTCCAGAGTTTGATCTCCAGTACCAAAAAACAAACTTCTTTGGGGAGCAAGTATGCAGCTCAACAGCACACTGCTTGCTTAGCATGGCCAATGTCAAGACCCTGAGTATGATTCTCAGCAGAGAAAAAACAAAACAACAGTACAAACTGTGTAACACTCTTAAATACCACACAATACTATCCAGAGAGGTTAAGATCTTGAAGGAATAAAATTTGAAAGTCAAGGGGCTGCGCTGGGCTGGTGGGGCACCCCTATACCAAAGCTGTTCGAGAGGCTGAGGCAGAAGGACCTCATCATTGAGGCCAGCCTGGGTAATGTAGAGAAACCCTATCACAAAATAAAAAGTGTTGGGGATGTATAGTTCCTTGGTGCTCCCTGGGTTGAATCCCCAGTACAATCAATCAATCAAGGTGAAGGATTTTGGTAGGCTTTTTGTATTTTGATTAATCTTTCATCAGTGGAATATGAACTCTAAAAGTCCCGCATCAGTGAGAATTTTTTTGCAACTTCATACTATCTCTTTATCTTCCACTATGCCTAATACCTAGTACCTGTGAATGTGCCTTTCTTTGAAGTTGTAATCAAGTTAAAATGAGGTCATACTAAGGCCTGGCTTGGTGGTGCATGTCTGTAATCCCAGCACTTGGGAGGCAGAGACAGAGGCAGGAGGATCACTGAGTTTGAGACCAGCCTGGGCTACATAGTGAGTTCAGGGCCAGCCAGAACTACAAAGTGAGACCTTGTCTCAAAAAATAAAAAAAACAAACAAAAAAAAGAGGTTATACTAGTTTAGAGTTGTCCCTAATCCAAAGACTAGTGTCTTTCTAAAATAAGGGAAATTTGGAACTACACACAAAATGATAATGACAAGTTGTAAAAGAGGTACAGACTAAAATGATGCATCTATGTGTCAGAGAATGTCAAGGACTTTGGACAACCACCAGAAGCTATGAACAGGAAAGGAAAGATTTTTCCCTCAAGCCTTCTGAAAGCATGGTCCTGAGGACACCTATGATTTTGAACTTACAGAACTATAACAGAATAACTTTCTATTCTTGTGAGCTACTCAGTTTGTAGCAATTTGTTTTAGCAGACCTAGGAAAGTAATAAGAGTACAGAATTACACTGCATTACATGGAAGTTAAATGTATTCCCTTGTTTTACTCTGCAGGTTAAACCAGGCAGACTTCACCTTCCCCGAACATCACTAATGGAACGAGGTAGTCTAAGTGCTCACACTTTATATACAAACACTTACTGTCTTAAGTTACTTTTCCCTCATTGCTGGACACCCAAAGTTAAAGGGGAAAGATTTATTTAGCTCAAAGTTTGTAGAGGTTTCAGTCCATAATTGACTGGCTCCAGTGGCATATGGCAGAGGGGCATCAAAGAGGAGAAACAGCTCCTGGTGCCTACACAGTAGCAAAAGCAACAAAGGACCTTAACTGTGTCTTTCTACCCCTTTTATCTCATCCAGACTACCAGGATGGGATCGGGGCAGTGCCAAACCAATCAGTACCACACACTACATTCAGCCACCTCTGAAAAAGCCCTACGACCACATGAGGATTTGGTGGGACATCTAGACACAAACCATTAACACTCATAAAAGTAAGAAAATTCTTTGAGTGTAGTTTCTAACTCAGAAATTCTCAGTTCAGACTGCATCTTGGAAGACTGGATCTCATCCTGCCTCAACATTTTGGGAAGTGGAATGGAGTGAACTACACCAGTAAATAAGGAAATTAAATGTTAATATATTACACATCTTTCAACGTATTTTCCTTGTAACCCCCAAAACAGTACACAAATGAAGTTATATTGTACTAACTTGGATTTATACAGCCTTTGAGGTTAAAAAACGCAACACATCCCCCCCCAAAATATACTTAGCACGTAATGGTAAAAGTGGTACAGAAAGATTCCTTAAAAGTAAAGGGAAAGCATCCAGGTGTGGTGGTGCACACCTGTATGTAATCCCAGCACTCAAGAGGCTGAGGCAGGAGGATCCCTGTGCAATCAAGGCTACCCTGCATCGTGATTTCAAGACTAGCTTGAGTTACATAGCAAAGGCCTGTCTCTGAGGGAAGGGAAGGGAAAGAAAGGGAAGGCAAGGGGAGGGGAGTGGGGGCTGGGAATGTAGCTCAGTATGAAGACCCTGGTTCAATCCCTAGTACCCACCCCCAACAAAGATACCAGGAATAGGTTGGTGAAGGTGGCACTGAGGTCCGCTTTTATACTGTACTCTCTGTGTTGCCTAATTATCACACTCTCATGTGATTGCCTTCTTGTGTGTATTACTTTTTTAATTCAAGCAATATTACAAAAACTCTTTCCAATAGTAGGTGGCAAACAATTTCAAGCTATTTCTCCAGACTGAAAAGGAAATTCAAGGAAAAACAAAACTATTGTTAAAACATTATTTTTATAGTAAACATTATCCTAGGCCAATGATGGCAAATCATTTATTTATTTATCTTTTTTTGTAGGGGAGACAGAGCCTTGCTATTCAGTCTAGCCTGGCTAGACTCCCGATGATTCTCAGTCTTCAGAGTGCTGGGATTACAAGTGTGCACCATCACACCAGGCTTGGGAACATTTTAGAGCTTTCAATGATAAACAACCCACTGCAGCACGCAGCACCACTGCAGGCAAGTAACACTGCAGCTAACCCTTCAGAGACTCAGCTTATCTGTCAAATCAGGTGGGTAGTAAGGAGACAATGAGAAATTTAGTAGCTTTCCTCTACTTCAAAATACAAATAATTCTTCATAAAGACAAAACTCTAGGAACAGAATATGTTATTAATGTTTGGTGATATATTTAAGCAATATCTATAATGTCAGAGGCTTAAAGACTAAAGTATTATTTACAACTCTTGCAAAAACCAAATATTAAAATATGGAGAAATGTTTTTAAAAATTCTAAGGGAAGGGATAGATACTGTACAAAGTTGTGAGACATGTAGCATACAGAAATGTAAATGCCTAATAGTTTCTCTGGTGTGAAAAACTAAAAGTGTAAATAAGGATCAAAATGTATAACTGATAATGTGAAACAGAAAATGTCTAAAGGAGTAGGGCAAGTGGGAGGGGTAGGGGAAAGGAAAGAAGGGAAAAGAAAAAAATATGAGAAAAGGAAAAATATGGAAACAAAGTCTTAGTAAATAGGGAAGGGTGGAAGGGGGTGCAGGGAGGGCAGGGGAATGGGGAAAAATAAAAACTAAGATACATCATGTAAAGGTACAAGATCCCAATGATGTATGTAACTGCACTGTATACCTAAAACGTACCAATAGCCTTAGTGAAAAAAAAAATCAAATAAGGAGTTAAACTATGTTGATGTTTGAGGCTTAACATTTTGATACATGGATACAAGAAGAATCCAAAGACAGTAAAAGCCAACTGATTGGGCTTTATCATGTATCCATTTCTCTTTCCTTTTCCTCCCAATTAAATGTGCAATCTCCACTCCTATATGTAGAGGTTCCTCAACAGGTCAATCAAACATTTTAGAAAAAAAAAATTTCAGATTACCAGGCCAAATCAGTCTTTCTCCGACTCCATTTCTTTAAGTTTACCATCCTGTTCTTTCACGCCACACGTGTCTTTCTACAATGGTCCTTCTGCTTCAATATTCACCTTAAAATGTGGCTAAGAATACTGATGAAATGGCTTGAAACAGCCATAAAGGACCACTTAATGGACAAAGTCAATGATCTACTATGTAGTTTTCATCTGTACAGTAAGCAGCCAATGAAAAACTTCACTTTAAATAATTTCTACTTTAAAGTGCAAGTTCGAGCCCAATCTGGGAAATTTGGTGAGGACTTCTCTGGGGAAGTAGGTCAGTGCAAAGCTGCTGGGTTCAAGTCCCAGCACCTAATAGTTTTAGAGGCTGGAGAGAACGCAGCTCAGTGGTAGAGTGCTTGACCAACAAGAGTGAGGTCCTGGCTCAATCCCTAATATTGTACCAAAAAAATAAAATAAAAAATAAAATAAAACCTCTTTGTGGCCACATATTCAGATTTATCAACTCCTATCTATTAAATCTTTCTTGTTTTATGACTATGGATATACACACAACAAAATTAAAAAACAAAAAATATCAGAACTGGGCTATACTAGATTTATCTACAAAAATTTTCAAGTAGAAACAAAGCATATCCCTGTAAGACAAAGGACATTTTGTCGGGGAAAGACATGAAAAGCAATAGTACAAAACAAGTTTATCTTTTTTGTTTGTTTTGTTTTGTTTTTTGAGACAGGGTCTCGCTATGTAGTTGAGACTAACCTGGAACTCACACTATGTAGCCGAGGCTGGTCTCGAACTCACAACAATCCTCCTGCCTCAGCCTCCCAAGTGCTGGGATCACAGGCATGCGCTACCACGCCTGGCATAAACTTTTATATATAGCATTTGAAGAACTACTTTAGTGGATTTCATTTCTGACGCATCTTCCTCTTTTTACCAAAATGAATCCAATGATAGACCCTTCTCATTTCCTCACCCTGACATTCTTCACTTACACTTAAAACAGACAATCATGGAAACGTTAAATGTCATCCTTCATGGTTTGATGAAAGACATGATATTGACAAACCTCTTATTTAACATTTCTCTAGTGACACTGAATTTGTATCCATTCATTAATACATTCTAATTAAATTAACTGTGCTGGGTGTGGTGGCACACACCTGTGATCCCAGCACTTGGGAGGCTGAGGCAGAAGGATCAATTGATGTGAGTTCGAGACCAGCTTGGGCTACACAGTGACTTCCAGGTCAGGCTCAACTACACAGTGAGACTCTGTCTCAAAACAAACAAACAAACAAACAAATGTAACTGACAATGACTGAAACTTATTCAAGTTTCGTTAGTCCTATAATCAAAACTAGGACAAACTTTTTTTGCAAAGAAAAAGTTCCAGAAAATCTGGAAGAAAATAAATTCCTTTTGGTTGATGACACTTTAATACATAAGTAATTGTCACAGAAATGCTATGCAAAATGTTAACTACAGCAGGTTTTTGTCTACTTAATTTTGCTGTGTACGAGTAACATGCATGTACGAGTAACATGCATTGAGTTTGGTAGTTATTTTAGCTTCTTTCCCTCAGTGCCAAATGTCTATGAATTCCAGATGAAAAGATCTGTTTACTATGATCACTGCAGTTGCAAGTGATCTGTATCAATTCTGCTAAACTTTATAGAATGTTTTTGTAACTACACAATAATGATCATAGTATAAATTGTCTCCTTAGTGCCCCTATAGGTTATACAAAGAATATCAACATCTCAGCTAATATAATTATTATCCTTCTACAATTCCTAATACATTGCCTCAGACTCTTTGAATACAAATACATTTTACTAGACAAACTGGGCGGTAGTTGGCAGCAATGTGATTCCTGCCTGTCTGGGTTCTCCAGTCCTCAATTCCTCTTACTGCATCTGGCTAAAAGCTAACTACAGGAAAAAGTGTTATTTCAGCTATCTTAACTCTAATACATGAATTACAGTAGCAGCAACATTTATATTTAAGAGTTCATAGAGAGAGGATCTAGGGCTTTATGGCCTACCAAGTATTTCCAGTAGCTATACCTCTTGTCCCTCAACATCCCTGGGGCCGGGGATTTAGCGCAAGATCCCGAGTTTGATCCCTTATACCCCCCACAAAAAAATCCCTGGCACATCCATGTTATAAAAAAATCTGTGCCAGTTAGATGTGTTGGAACACACCTGCAATTCTAGCAGTCTGTGAAGCAGAGACAGTAGCAAGATGGTCTCTCAGGGAAAGAAAAAGGTGGCTGGAGATGTAGGATAGTGTGAAGGCCATGGATTAAATCTCCAGTACAGTATCCCCTCATCAAAATCTGAACCAATACCAATATGCTGGTCTCCTACACAGGTGCAAGGTATATAAGGCCAGCAAAAAGTATCTCTTGAAAGTCGGGTGTCGTGGGGTATGCCTGTAATCCCAGCACTTGGAAGGCTGAGGCAGGAGGATCGCTGTTGAGTTCAAGACCAGCCTGGGCTACATAGTGAGTTCCAAGGCAGTCTCAACGACATAGTGAGACCCTGACTAAACAAAACCAAACCAAAAAAAGGTCTCTTGACACATCACTGAATGAAGCAAACAATGACTGAGAATGATGAAACATTGGTTTTAAAGCTACACTGTGTACCATCCTCTCAAGACATACTCAATTTTTGTGAACTACTGTTTCTCTTAGTTGTGATTCTCAAGAAACATTCTATTGGAGATCCTTGAGTCACTGTAAAACTCAGATTAGAACTTGGCAAACTCATCCTCTCTACACTGATAATTCAATTTATGGGTTGTCTCTGGTTGTTCCGGTGTACAATAGGGCAAATTCTTTTTTTTTGGACAAATTCTTTAGTGATGACTGGCCTATCCTTTGGTACTTAGTTAAATCTACTCAATGAAGTCAAATATGCATTTGTCTTGAGTCAAGATCCATATTACTGCAAAGACTGATTTATCAAAAGCTCCAAGGTTCTCTATCTCCGTGTCAAAAAGAGAAAATAAAATACTAGAACAAAAGCAAACTGGAAGCAAACCGTATTCCCAATTTGACGCTGACTTTATGGTCCATCCCAGGAAGTGAATCCAGTTCAGTTTTCAAAAACGCTGTTCTGGGATTTTATACACTTGAAAGTTCAGATCAAAGGCCCAAAAGTTTTAGTGGGAAACCCACGGAGTTTTTGCCTTAATGCAAAGCAAGCTTTCTAAACTGCAAACCGCTCAACTATACTTTTAGTCATGGTAGCCAAAGGGAAACAAATTTACTTTCGAACATAGCAAGCCAAAAACCAGAACTAGGACTGGGGTAAGAAGCAACAAAACAAGGCTTTAAAAAAGAAAAGAAAAAAGCAATTCCCTTTTAAAGCTTTTGAAACTGTTTTCCGTTGCTGATAAACACAGACGCTGGAACATTTCGGCTTTTCTTTAAAATTACATTACATTAAAAATGCCACATGGTGTCTTCATTCGTTCTTTCCTCCCCCGTTCCCACACCCTTAAATCACAGAACACGACTTTGTTGGCAGACACCGTCCCAGGGATGTGGCCTCGAGGCGGGGCTCGTGGATCCCAGCAGGTCGGCGAGCGGGCAGCGATTACAATAACCATACCCCACTGCCCTCCGACCTCCAGGGGCAAGCAAAAGTGACCCTCCAATACAAGGGACCCAGCGGCGGGCCCAGGGACGGGGACAAGGACAAGCCAGGCACGAAACAGTACCCACCAGGGCTCCAGGCCGGGAGCCAGAGCAGCACGGAACGCAGCCCCTCCCAGATCTTGCAGGGGGCGCGGGGCCGCGCGGCCAAGGCCTCGGGATCACCCGAAGGACAGGGCCCTGGGGCCAGCAGGAACACGGGCCCAGAATGAGGAAGGCCCATGCTACTCCGGCAGCCAGGCAGGCGAACAGCAACAGTGAATAAGGACATAACCGCGGGCGAGGGGCTGAGCGCCACGGCACCTACCTTTCCCAGTGTCCACACAGCCGAGGATACCGTGGCAGCCGTTCACCCGAGGGCTCAGCTCACGCGCCCAAGCACCGCCTAGCCGGAAGCAGCCCGTGGCCCCGCCACCATCCGCCTCGCCGGCGGCCTCCTGACCAATCATCAAAGAACTCGCCACTGACGCGCAGCTTTTCCTGGCAGCCATTGGCTCTTCAGTCGCGTAGCCGGGATAGGCTGGAAAGCGCCACGTCCGCGGGAGCACGCCGAGCTGCGTGGGCCGGATTCCCGCCCAGCTCTGGTTCCCGGGCCTGTCCCGATGGCCAGCCACAGCCCCTTGCCTGGGCGGCTTGTGGGCGCGGCAAGCAGACCGCCACGTCCTCGATCACAGCGCGTGATTCTGCCTACACAGGGCTTCTTGGGTTACTCCGTCTGTTATCTTCATCTCCCCAAATCCGACTATATCGGTCATTGCCTATAGTGAACCATCCCAACTTCGTCCTTTCCAGTGCCGCCGCGCTGCGGTGGCATCTGCGGGAGGCTGTTAATTGAAGCTGCTTGTACCTTTCAACTTCATCTCCTGCTACGCCCGTCACAAATCTTATAATCGGGCCACCATCACCTCCGCATTCCCCACCAGCCTGTCCTTTAACATCTCCATGGCTTTGGTTCACCAAGTGGTTTCTGCCTGCAATAAGGGTTTTCCTAATTTTCTGTTCATAAAGGCCAACAGTATCAGTTTGGGCTGGGCGGTAATCTCAGCGTTTAGAAGGCTAAGGCAAAAGGATTGCTGTGAGTTTGAGGCCGGCCTGGTTTTATAGTGAGTTCAAGGCCATTTTAGACTACGTAGCAAGACCCTATCTCAAACAACAATAACATTTTTTTTTTAAATTCCAGTTGGATACCAGCCCTTAAAAGCCTTTACTGATCCCACAAAACATAATACTTCCCTTATTTGCCTTCACAGCACTGTCTTCAGTGCCCTCTTGCCAAATCTTGCTTTATAGCATTGCTTATCCATCTGTTCTCTTCCAGACTAAGTTTCAGAATTGGGCTCTGCCTATTTCTATCTGCAGCACTGAGCTTACCGCCCAGGTCAAAGTAAATGCTTAATAATGTTAAGTGAAATGAATGGTTGAAATCCATTGCATGTACCGGGTTTAGGAGAAACGCAGGAAATGATTCACGTATGCATTTTGGTGCCATGAAATTAAAACATATATTCAATGAGAGTTACTATGTTTTCAACATAAATGAAATACATAGTCAGGGATTTAGCTCAGCGGTGCCGCTGCCTGTCCCACAAGTGTGAAGACCTGAGTTTGATCCCGGTACCAAAACAAACAAACAACCCCACAAAAAACAAATGAAATATATAAACCTTAGTTCTTATCAAATAAGACTGTAGTTTAAGATCCAAGTACCAAGTCCATAAGGGAGCTAAAAACAAAGCAAATTAGTTTACTTTTAAGTGCCAAGATGAAAGGATGCATTCAGAAGACAAAGGATTGCATTCAGCAGCCCTTGGTGGGAGCCAAGAGAGGGCTTCAAAGGTAGGTGTAATTTAGGCCGGGCCAAGGAAGTCCCAGCTCAGCGAAACAGCAGCGACAAGGCCAGTGGGAAGCAGAGCAGAAGGCAAAACGTTCAGGTCAGGCAGCGGGTGAGGGAGGTTAGAAAAAGCAGGGAAAGCATAGAGAGTACTTTGGAACGGGACTGGAAGACCTTGACCATCAAAGTATCCTGAGCTGAAGAGAGTGAGAACTGTAGGTCCCCTTTGGAAGATTTGTAGACTTGTGGCTAGGTGCATGTGTGTGTGTCTGTGCATGTGTGTGTGTGTGTAATAATACTAAAAATGGTTCTTTCAGGAAGGTAGATATTCTTTTTTTAATTCTAAAATTAAAGATTCTAATCAGAGCAAAACCATAAATTAAGAATGGAAAATTTGGGATAGATATGCTTATAGAATACTTTTAATCAAACTAATATATATATATATATATATATATATATATATATATATGCATGTATTTCACCATGGTAAGAGAAAAACTGAAAGAAAAGACAAGAGAAAATCTATTTTAGAAACCATGAAACTTTATGGGGACCACAATAAAGAACAGGAATTTATTTCTAATAGTAGTCTCACAAATTATGCATGTTTTCAGTGGAAATCACTCAGGGTTAAGTTTATGTGCCATGCTGTTTTGACAAAAGTAATATGCATGTATTTCACCATGGTAAGAGAAAAACTGAAAGAAAAGACAAGAGAAAATCTATTTTAGAAACCATGAAACTTTATGGGGACCACAATAAAGAACAGGAATTTATTTCTAATAGTAGTCTCACAAATTATGCATGTTTTCAGTGGAAATCACTCAGGGTTAAGTTTATGTGCCATGCTGTTTTGACAAAAGTAGTCAAGAGAATAGGAAATACATTTGAATAGCATGTATAGAAATTTAGGATATAAGATCCCAGATTTGGTGTCTTTGCTATTATTTTTGTTTTGTTTGCTACTTTGAGGCAGAATTCTTTTTGTGGCACTGGAGATTGACCCCAGGACCTCACTCATGCACAGCAAATACTCTGCCACTGAGATACACATTAAGTCCCCAAATTCTTCTTAAAAGACAATCACGGACAATCTCTGTATGAAGAGAGGCATGTAGAGCTGCTCTCACTGGAGTGAGGATCAGGGCTCTGGGCCGAGTTCAGACTGTTCATCTTTCTCATTAATCTTCAGTGGCTCTCCTGGGAGTCCTCTGGTTCATGGAATCTTGTAAAAAGTCTTGACTTTACCTAACTTCTTGATTTTGCAGTCAAGGTCACCAGGGCACATTGCTAATTAGTGGATGAGCTGAGCCCGGAGTGCAGGTCTTCTGACTCCTCCAGGAAAGCCTCCTATACCAGACTGCATGTGTGGAGTTCCTGAAATTAGTTCCGGATATGAAAGATCTTCCTCTTAACTAAATAGAGAACATCTTTTGATCATTGTATCAACAGAGACCAAGGAGAGTCAGTATATACATATATTTATGGTCTGTAGCCTTTTGGGAAGTGAATTCTGATTTTCCTATTGTCTGTAATAATGAGTTTAAAGATACATGCTTTGAAAAATTCCTTCACTGGACAAAGCTGAAAATATTTAGTCATTGCTGGTGCAGTGGCATATATCTGTAGTCTCAGTTACTCGGGAGGTTGCGGCAAGATCACTTGCACCCAGGAGTTTGAGACCAGTATGGGTAACATATTGAGGCTATTTCAAAAAAAAAAAAAGTCATAAAAATGGTAATCACATCCAGCAAAGTCAAATTAATGGGTATTATTGCTCAGCTTCACTCACTATCTGCTAGTTCCTTCCTTTGATGCTCAACTAACCTTTGTTAACACAAAGTGGGGAGAAAGGTACAGTTCTCCAGGCCTGGGGAAAACATAGTCTTTCTACCTTCCACAAGAGTAGTTCACAGAAATCTTGCCACTTGCTGTACTAAAATTGTGAGCTCTTACAGCTGCCATCACCATGCTGACCATTCACTCAACAGAACAATACAGTTCAAAAAAAGATATTAAATGAGAACAATTTAAGAATTGAATCATGTTTATATTTAAACAGAATTTTAAAATTAACTATTGATATTTTTAATGATTATATTGATCACACATATTTATTTTAACCACTGGTTCTTTCTTTTTTGGTACTGGAGATCGAACTCGGGTCCTTGTGCTTGCAAGGCAAGTGGCAGAACCACTGAGCTAAATCCCAGGCCAACCACTGGTTCTTTCTAAGACTTCAATCATTAAATTACTAAATTTTGAGACAGGGCCTTGCTATGTAGTCCAGGCTGTTTTTGCTTTTGTTTTTTTTTTTTTTTCTTTTTTGGTACCGGGGATTGAACTTGGGACCTTGTGCTTGTGAGGGCAGGTGGTGGAACCACTGAGCTAAATCCCCAGCTCCTAAATTACTAAATTTTAATAGCAAATTATTATCCAGACAGCATTGGAATTCACTATAGACAATAGTAAAGCCCCTCCCCCTTTTAATCTTACCCTGGTTCTGCGATTCTAGAATGTAGACTTCAGGATATGTGGTGCCTATTGTGCATTGGGAGCATTACAATTTTAATTTCTCTTCTATTAGTATCGAATACTGAAACTAGAATATTCAAGTTTAGAGACTTTTTTTCATTAGAAAAGTTTGCGCGGTCAAGGCAAGAACTAGGACTTCCAACCTTGCTCATCCAGGACCTCATGGAATCCACCTTCTCTTCAGGGCCTTGCACTTGGCCTACCTCAGTGCCTTTGCTGGTGTTCTTCACCCAGCCAACTACGCACATTTTCTTAGCTTCTCCTTCAGTGTACATTCTGAAGCAAACAGCCTGCACTCTTTGGAACACCTCGCAGTCCACCTATTTGAGCGGTGCGTTGGTAGCCATGGGCCTTCTGTCTAGGAGCAGGAGTGGTGCCCAGGGCATGACGAATGCAGGGGCCGCCAGAGGGAGGAAGCACATGGGACCACGAGGTGCGCCCCGCGCCTGTCCTCGGTGCAGGACAGGCAGGAAGGTACATGTTCTAATAAGGATTAACTACACAGAAGGCTGCAGCACGAGGTGTTTTTTAAAAACTTTAAAAATGTGCCTCATCCTTCTCCACTGTTGGAGTATGGACTGGTGCAACCGTTGTGGAAATCAGTGTGGAGATTCCTCCAAAAACTAAAAATAGAGGTTCCGTTTGACCCAGCTATAACTCTTTGTTTGTTTGTTTGTTTCTATTTGGTTTTTTTGAGACAGGGTCTCACTATGTAGTTGAGACTGATCTAGACTCACTGTGTAGTCCAGGCTGGTCTCGAACTCACAGCGATCCTCCTGCTTTAGCCTCCCAAGTGCTAGGATTACAGGTGTGCGCTGCCACAGTCAGCCTATAACTCTTCTTAATATCTTCCCAAAAGAAATGAAAGCATCACACCACAGTGATATATGTGCACCCTTATTTATAGCAGCAGTTTGTAATAGCTAAATCTTGGAAACAGCCCAAAAGCCCACCAACTGATGAGTGGATTAAGAAGATATGGTTTTTTTTTTTAATACAATGGAGTACTACTCTGCCATAAAGAAGGGTGAGCTTCAGACATTTATAGCTAAATGTTTGGACCTTTGAGGCCATACTCCTAAGTGAAATAATCAGACATCAATGTTTAAGTGCCACATTGTTTCTCTGGTGTGAGAAACCAAAAGTGGAAAAAGGGCTGAGATGTATGATGGGTGTTGGGAAATGGGAAGAAAGTGTTCAAATGGGAAGTGCAACAAGGGAGGAGGGAGGGAGAAAGGAAGGGACAAGAAAAAAGTGAAAATAGAAGGAAACATGGAAACAAAGCTTTTGTGCATGGAGGAAGGGGCTTGATGAGAGAATGGGATAAAATAAAATAAAATTTATTTTAAAAATAAGATGCCTCCTTGAAAGGCACTGTTCTAGGTGCAGTGAACCTGTAAAATGCAAAGAGCATCATCTCTGCCCTCAAGGAACTGCCACCTAGTGGGAGAGCCACTAGGAGTGTAGTAGAGGCTGCACAAGTAGTGAGACTGCCAGACATAGGGCGCTCCTGCCCTAAGGTTTCCTATAGATAAGGACCTGGCCTAGTAAGGGAACAGAAATGGAAATGAATCCTCACATACAAGAGGGATTCATAGAAGCGACATCCCTTTGCAGCTTTGCAGTGCTGCAACTGCCTGGCAAGCACAAAGTCCTGAGTCTGATCCCCAGTAACAGAAAAAAGAGAAAAAAAAAGTAGGAAAACAATTTGTATATCTCAGTTAAAAACAACAAAATACAAGCTGAATGTGGTGGTGCTCACCCGGCACTGGGAGGCTGAGGCACAAGAATTACAAGTTTGGACCCAGCCTAAGAAATTTAGCAACCTATTGAGAAAAAAGGGTGGGGGGTGCAGCTCAGTGTGAGGGCCCTGAGTTCAATACCTACTTCTAAAAAAAAAAAAGTCACAAAATTGGGCAATTAGTTAGGAGGGACTAGAGATTTGAAGAGAGAGAAAGCACGGAAAGCCACTGAGCAGAGCGACAGAAGAGGGGAATGTAGGGTGATTCCCAGGCAGTGCTGAAGACCTAAGGCTTGGAACCATGACTGTGAGGTGTACTGGTTATGGATGTCATGTAGTTTTCTACGAGCGGATTCAGTGGCGTGGTACAGGCGCGAGGTTGGATGACCGCTGGCTTTAGCCAAGTGAATAGAAGAAAGTGAAAGAAGCACAACGATCTTAAGGGTGCGTGCAAGGGAGTGAGAATTACAGGATTATCACAGAATCTAAGCCAGAAGGAAAGGAAAGGAGAAATAGGGAGAGTGGAGGTAAGGGAAACAGATTTAGGAGTGGTGGGGTTGAAGATTACCGGACTCAGAGGGAAGGAAGGGAGATTGTGTAACTGGAGAAGGGATTAATGGGGTAGAATGTGGTTATTAATGACAAAACCTTGTTAAAACCAGAGGAGATGATGAGAAAAAGACGGAGGACAAGACCTCGAGGAAGATCACTAGGGTATGGGGCGGGCCATGTGGACACGGAAAACACCAGGGGTTAGGACCTAAAACATCCTTGGAGTGATGGCGATTTGAAAACTTATATTTTAGCCCTCCAGCTGTTCCAGTATAAAAACCACTCCAGTAAACTGTGCGGGGTGGCGCATGCCTGTAATCCGAGCACTTAGGAGGCTGAAGCAGGAGGACTGCCTTGAGTTTGAGACCGGCCTAGGCTACACAGTGAGTCCAAGGCCTTTCTGAACTATATAGTGAGACCCTGCCTCAAAAAAAAAATAATAATAAAAATAAAATAAAAATAAAAAGCACTTGAGTAAACACAAAGACTCACCTAAGATATCTTAAACCAGAGCACAGCATCTGAAAGAACTTCTGAATTGGAAGTTGGCTAGCTATTCTGAAAGTCTGAGTGTGGATTTCATTGAATGTGAAATACAGTATTGCGAATTTTTTCTTTTGGCTTTTGAGACAGGCAAGGTCTTGCTATGAAGCTCAGGCCAGACTCAAACTCATAATGACCCTGCTGCTTCAGCCTCTTGAGGGCTGGGGTTACAAATGTGTACCATCACACCCGGCTTGCAGAGATAGTCAGTGGACCATTGTCGGGAGCAATTCAGGCTGGTCTCGAACTCACAGCGACCCTCCTGCCTCAGCCTCCCAAGTGCTGGGATTACAGGCGTGCACCGCCACACCCGGCCTCACAAATTATGATCAGGCCTCGTCTTGCAACAGGCCAGCTAGGACATGCCAAAATGTAACTCCATTTTTGCCTCTAGTCACAGCTGAAACCTCAAAGGTCCTGTGATGCTGGGACACTCCAGGGCAGGACTGATCAGCTGAAGACATCCTGGTTCCTTGACAATGAGAACAGAGTTGTAAGAGAAAGGTTTCACCTGGGGAGGGATAAATTCCTAATCAATGTAAATTCCTCATGGACCTCGGATCTTCATCAACATAAATCCCTCATTGTCCCAGGATTATTGCAGTCCTCTGAGTCATTTGTTACTCCCTGTGAACCCAATAAAAGTGTGGCAAGCTTAGGGTGCCTTTGTCTTTACCGCTCAGAGCAGCACTGATCAGGCCCAAAGCTCAGCTTCTTTTCTAAATCTCATTTCCTGTTTTAATTCATTAATTCGCCTTGAGCTGCCGTGGCTCACAGGAGAACGGGACTCATTGCAGGGGTTCTGGTAACGTCCCCTTTGCCTGTTCCCACAGACCACCTAACAGACTACTCTTAGTGACCCTCTTGATCTGAAATTTAAGAACCTATAGTTTACCTATACCTACCTTTGAGCCTGTGTCTCTTCTCACTGGAATTGCTAATTCAATAAGCATAATGAGCTTTGTCAATATTTCAAGGGAGTGTCATGTGCAAATGAAATTGTGCCATTTGGGAGCTGTAGGTGGCAAACATTTGTGATCTCAGCACTGAGGGAGGCTGAGGCAAGAGGGCTGCAAATTCAAGTTATACCTGGACAATTTAAGCAAGTCCCTGTTTCAAATAGAAATGAAAAGAGGTGGGACTGTAGCTCAGGGCAAAGGTCCGGGGCTCAATACGGGAACCAAAATCAGAAAAAGAAAGAAAAAATAAAAAGAAATTTCACCAGTGTTTATAGGACTGAAACAATAGCAAACCTAGGAAATTTAATCACACAACAGAAATGCACTCTATCTTACACACCTTGCTCATACTGTTGGGTAGGGACCATTCCTTAGTGTCAAATCAAAGTCTGAATATGGATGGCTAGCAAGGGTAGATTAGGAAACAGGCGAAGGAAGAAGGCGTAAAGATTAAATCAGATAAAAAATAAGGGCTGGGGATTTGGCTCAGTGGTTCTGCCACCTGCCTCACCAAGTGCAAGGGCCCAAGTTTGATCCCTAGTACCAAAGGAAAAAAAAATTGAATCAGAAGAAAACTAGCAAGAAGGGTCAGGGATTTAGCTCAGGGGCACCTAACCTGCCTCACAAGCACAAGGTCCTGAGTTTAATTCCCGGTACTAGGCAGGGTGGGGGGGTGAGACTAGCAAGAAAAACTGGCAAAAAGAGACAATGAAGAAGGGTCCCTTCATACTCGTCCAGAGTAATCTGAGCAAAAAAGGAAACATAGATTGGGTGTGGTGATACACAACTGTAGTCCCAGCACTTGGGAGGCTGAGGCAGGAGGATTGCCATGAGTTCAAGGCCAGTCTGAGCTACAGAGTGAGACAGAAGAAGAAGAAGAAGAAGAAGAAGAAGAAGTGGAGGAGGAGGAGGAGGAGGAGGAGGAGGAGGAGGAAGAGGAAGAGGAAGAGGAAGAGGAAACACACCTCCTTTTTTTGCTTATGGCTTTACTTTCAAGTGTTAAATTAGATAAACAGAACCTTGGTGAAGCATCCCTCAGGGATGTACTTCTTCTCCCAAGTCTCTGCTTCCTTCTATTACCACTTCCTTTTGTATGTCCTCTTCTCTGACTCCCTCCTGCCACCTTCATTTTGCTGTCTTCTGCCTCTTCCAGTCTTGTTTCCCTTGCTTTCCTTTCTCCGTCTCCGTCTCGGCTGTCTTGAGAACTCATCTTTCTGTGCCTGTTGGGGTGAGGGGTGAGATAGAGGTGGGCTGTGCTTCTGTGTGGAGCTGAGCACACAAAAGTAGGTACTGCTAGAATAAGGAAAATCTGTGCTGTCACCACAGATGATGATGACTCTGGTTTTCCCTTCATTGCAACTTTCTCCTCCCCTCCATCCTCATGGAGACCCGCAAAGCTCAGTGCTGCAGAGCCTTGTTGGCAAGGGCAGCGTAGACTTTCCCCAGTGTTAAAAAGAATTTCCTGTGTGTGCAGAAGAGTGTTTGATAGCACACAAATCACCTGACAGCAGTATCCTTATCAGTGGAGCCTGTGTTCCAAGACCAGAAAGGATGCCTGAAACTGAACTGTACCAAGTCCTACTGGTACAGTACTGTTTTCCCCCATATAAATGTAAAGATGATAACATTTCATTTATAAATTAGGGGTGTTGCCAGGTGTGGTGGCATACACCCGAAATCCTAGTGCTTGGGTGGCTGAGGCAGGAGGATCATCACAAGTTTCAAGGCCAGCCTGGACTGCATAGTGAATTCAAGGCCAGGATGAACTACATATAGTGGGACCGTCTTAAAAAACAAAACAAAAGTAAATAAATAAATAATGCGTGGTGGGAGGTTAATGACAACAAATAATTAAAGAATAATTATAAGTGTATATGGGGCTGGGGATGGAGCTCAGTGGTGCCACACCTGACTCACAGGTGCAAGGTCCTGAGTTTGATCCTTGGTACAATAAAACAAAAAAGTGGATATGGCTCTCTCTCAAAAATGGAATTTTTCATTTATTACTTTTGGGTTACAGTAAACTGTGGGTAATAAACCTCAGAAAATAAAACAGCATATGGGGGGGGGTCCACTGTACCTATACTACTTTTTAAAATTGTCAACTTTTTTTTTTTTTTGGTACTGGGGATAGAACTCAGGACCTTGCGATTGTAAGTCAGGCAGCGGAACCACTGAGCTAAATTCCCAGTCCAATTGTCAACTATTAATAATGATCTCTGGGGAGAGTTAAGGATTTTGCAATAGTATTTACTTTAGAAAACTTAAATTACCCCAGCTTCTTTAGGAATGTGAAGTACTTTATAAAATGCTTGTAGAGTGAATAATGATGAGGGAGCCTTAGAGCTTGAGGTATGAACATCTGGGGCTCTAGGGAAGTTTGTCCCACCCCAGCCCTGCAGTCCCACCCCTTCTGCCTTTCTGCACCCCAATCCCCGCAGTAGGAAGGCCATGAGGAGCTCCAGGTGGCAGTGGGGGTGTGTGTGTCCACAGAGGACTTCATGCCGCCCCGCACAGCAAGGAGCTAGAGCTCCAGTTGTCATGGATTCACTCAAGTAGTGTCTATCACTTCAGAGCCACTTACTGAGATCTTGGGGCTCTGGAGGTGCTGCCCTGAGGGTTTCACTCAGCCCTGTGGAGTCAGAGAGCAGGGCAGGAAAATGGATGAGGTAACTGCTTTCCCCATCCCCAGCCCAGAGCACCCTGGAATCACCTTTAGGACCTCCAGGCCGGACTCGCTCTGAGGTGGAACTCCAGGCTGTCCCCAGGCAGCTGGATCGATCCCCTTGACATACCTACGGGTAGCGCCAGCCTTGGCCTGGTGGAGGCCGCCAGAGTGCTGAGCAGTGACAGGGGCTGCGGCACGGAGGGGTTTTCTCTTTCCCACTCTCCATAAGCGAGTGACTCTCTCCAGCTGAAGTCATGGGTACAAGGAACGTCATCTCTCCAGGGAGGATCTTTAATTAAGAAAAGGAAGGCATTTGCACTGTGGTTCACAGTGTGCTCTTGGAGCTCACGGCTAACAGTTGAGGAGGAGACACCTCTGATGTGACAGGAACTGACACACATCCTTGCTCCTTCTAACCTCGTGACAGTTTGGTGATGACAGTGTTATCATAATCCCCATTTTACAGATGAGGAATCTGAGGTCGAGAGAGACTGAGTAATTTATTAAGAGTCACATTTTGAGGGAGGTAGGGTCAGAAGTCAAAAGTAGACAGCCTGGCTCCATAGTCCACATTCTTACTTCTCTATGGTGTGAGAAAGATGGTCCCAGTGCAAGGAGAGGACCAGGCTGGGACAGGTTAACTGAGAGAGTTTCCCTAGGAGACCAGGCTAGCTGAACTGGTTATGGTCACGAACTCGGAAGATCAACACCAAAGCTTGTTCTTGGGCCTGTTGGTCCTGGCTACCCAGTGTGGTTGAAGCCTTGGCACCACCCAGGAGAATGTTAGATCATCTCAACCCCACCCCAACCATGAATTAGAATCTGCTCTGTAACGAGACCCAAAGGTCTGTTTGTGAACTAAACTTGGGGACAAGCTGCTATAACACAGCCAAACTAACCAGGATGGGAAGTTGAAAGGTCAGCCAGGAAGGTGGTAAGCTTTGGGCCTCTGATTTTTCCAAATGTAGCTCCCCCGCCCCTCCCCTATTCCTCTGGAATCTGAAAGTTCCAGGAAGTGTGCCTCGGGGTTCCTATGACGCCAGACGGCCTGTGGCCCTGAAAATCTAGCTGTCCTCTCTAGTTCTAGAAATAAGTAAGAAATTATCTCCATTTTTGTTTCTCCTCACACTGACCTCATGGGGTATGTTTTAAGAATATACAAATGCATGTGTAAAGACAGAAAAATGAATCACCATGTGTCTTCAGTTACAGAACAAAAAAGTGCAGTCAGGCTGGGAGGAAATGTGGGTCGGCAACAGCCCTGCTGCCTTAATTGAAACCTTTACTTTCTTATTGCCCTGTCCCTGCCACTTCCTACTGTCTCCTACCTGCTGAAAACAAGGGTCAGGTGCCAGCAGTTGTTTTAATTATAATAGTGTTGGAGAAAAGTGATCTATTTCTTGTATCGATGTCCCTCAGAACTTTACCCACTTTTACCACCTGCAGATGTAATCTAAGCTCAGATTTGGATAAAAGTTAGCAGAGGATGTATTATGTCTTCTAAATTTCTAAATAGGACACGATGTTCTGGCCTCCTGAGCCAGTGTGGAGAACTAGTTCATTAGTGGCACGGGACATGGATATTTACTGAACTCCCATCGTGTCCCCAGCCATGTCCACAGCCTGCTGGTGTGGATAATTCAGAGACATGAATACAAGTTAGTATTCACTGAAGAATTAACTCTACAACTAGAGAATAACACGAGAGAAATTAAAACAAGGAAAGATAAGGTTGGGCGGAAAGGTGTGGTGAGGTGGAGGATTTAGGGCCGGTAGGATTTTGAGCGCAGGCTCAGGGGGAAAGAGCGGAGGGGGATGGTGGGGAATGGAGAGGTCTGACTGAGATTACGGTGTAGACACGGCTGGGGAAGATGGGGGAGTCTATCCAGGGCCACGCATGCCGCGCCGAGTGGATGTGGGCTGAGCTAGAAATCCGGCGGCTGCAGCTTCTAGAGAACGCATCACCACCTTCCCTCAGGCAGAGGCGGGTTCCTCCTGGAATTCCCGGCCTGGTCCAGCTCCGAGAACTCCCCGCGCTCCACGACTCAACCCACACGCTAAGCCTCTGAGGCTGGTGTTCTGGGAGGACTAAGGGACCCCCTACTTTGTGTGCCTTTGCACCTCAGGCAAGAGCTTTGAAAGTTGCCTGGAAGGGGAGGTTTTGTCATTTTGGTATTTACCCATCTGACACCACCAAATTATGAAGCCCTTAAAAAGACACGGTATCTTTCTACAGTGACCCCAAAGCCACAACAAGTGTCACTAGTGAAGCACTCAATGCGTGCTTTTGAGTGAATAAATAGATGGATGAACAGGTGAGAGATCACCACAGGCTTGGAGTGAGAAGGACTGGGCTAGGGTTGGATCTGTGGGAATGGAAATG